GGCAAAGACCTTGAAGGTTTGTACATAAATATATGAATTTTGATTGCTAGAATATTCTGATAATTACAAATATTTTTTTGGTTAATCTTTATGGTATAGGATACACTAAGCTAGGGCAATATGAAGATTATATTCTTGTAGAGGACTAAAAGTTGTAGTTGTCAGTACAAGAAATAATCTGCAGACATGAATGGTAATGCCACAAATAAAGGAAAAGGATCATGGAAAGTGCCACTTACTAAGTCCACTCAGTGCTCCCGAGTTTGTTCCGTCTTACAGTGCATGCCAAAGTGAAGAAAGTGTTTCCTGGAGGGTGTTAGGGGGCAGAATCCCCATCAATCCAACCCTGTGCCCGAAGGGCACACACAGTCACAGGAACTTAGATTGTTGAATAAATTTTACATGTGGATTTGGGGACTTAGTCTGTGGTGAATGTGTCCATGCTTTAAAGGATTACTATTTTTCTATATTGAAGTTACATGGCTCTTTTATTTTGCAGTTATTGAATGCTGAGACCACCCTCTTCATCATTGCCTCCAAGACTTTTACAACACAGGAGACCATCACTAATGCAACTTCAGCCAAGAAATGGTTCCTTGATGCTGCAAAAGATGTAAGCTTATTTCCTGTGTTCAAATGCATTTGATTTAGAATGCTTAAAGCACATCTTTATTTTTTAGATGCTTTTCCAGGATGATTTTATTGACTTTATTTATTCAGATTTTTTTATTATTGACAGTTGTACCTTTGAGTGAATGATGCAACTATTTGTAATTAATATTTTGTCTTTAGCCTTCAGCTGTGGCCAAGCACTTCATTGCGCTGTCAACCAATGGTCCAAAAGTGAAGGATTTCGGCATTGATGAAGCAAATATGTTTGAATTCTGGGATTGGGTTGGTGGCCGGTACTCTCTGTGGTCTGCTATTGGAATGTCCATTGCCGTCCACATTGGATTTGACAACTTTGAAAAGCTGTTGGCTGGTGCTCATTTTATGGACAATCATTTCAAGACTGCCCCTCTGGAGAAGAACGTAAGTATTTACTGAATGCATTATCAAGTCTTTAATCAGTGGCCTGTAATTGGGAGTAAACAATTGATAATGGTATCAAATGTCTTTTCTGTTATGATGTTCTTTTCTTCAAGTTAAATAAAAAATTTATTGTTGGAATTCCAAAATGTATTTGTGATAGCAAACCTCATGAGGTGTTACATGAAAAAAAACTCATTTTTCAGATTCCTGTATTGCTTGCACTTCTTGGTGTATGGTACCATAATTTCTATGGTGCTGAAACCCATGCCTTGTTGCCATATGACCAGTACCTGCATAGGTTTGCTGCCTATTTCCAGCAGGGTGATATGGAATCCAACGGAAAGTAAGGCACTTAGGAATCATTTGCAGATATTATTTTCATTTTATATTGATAGTGGAACTGATGTACATCAGTTCTTTAATAGTGGAGAGATGTTAAGAATTGGATCTTCTTTATATAGGTATGTGACTCGCAGCGGACGTCAAGTGGCATACAATACTGGGCCTATTGTGTGGGGAGAGCCTGGTACAAATGGACAACATGCATTTTATCAATTGATCCATCAAGGCACACGCCTAATACCTGCTGATTTTATTGCTCCTGCAAAGTCTCACAATCCCATTGCTGACAATTTGCATCACAAGGTAAGGACCAGGGCTTACTCATCTTGTATACATGGAACAGTTTGTAGCATGATGTCGGTGAGAGGAATTTAGAATAATTTTTGTCTTGAATAAGAAACACTGTAATAACAGATACTAAACTAGTTTTACAGTAAACTTTCAAATATGCCAAAATATAATAAAGCTTATGAAAATCTTAAATCTTGAGTGGAAAGTTTACAGAAGATGTCGTATATTCCAACTTTTTTTGTGTCTGTCTTTGTTTGAGTCAATGTGTGTCTGTGTGTCCAAGGATTACAATGTTTATTTTAATGTTTCAGCTGTTGCTGGCAAACTTCCTTGCTCAAACAGAAGCGCTCATGAAAGGAAAGACTACTGAAGAAGCCAGAGCAGAACTGGAGAAGGCCAACATGCCTGCTGACAAATTGGAACATATTCTTCCTCACAAGGTGTTCAAGGGCAACAAGCCAACCAATTCCATTATGGTTGAGAAGCTGACTCCATTCACCCTTGGGGCATTGATCGTTATGTATGAGATGAAAATCTTTACCCAGGGTGTTATTTGGGACATCAACTCTTTTGATCAGTGGGGGTAAGTGTTTATGAAGCTTTAAAGTTGGCATTACCATAAATTACTTATTTCAGAAGTTACTCATGCCCTTGCTTGAAAGTAATTTTGTTTTGTATGTTTGTATCAGAAGTCAAGATAAGTGCAAGACCAGTGTATTTTGTGTATTTAGTTAGACACCCATTATAGTCATACCTGGTGAAACATTCTTATTGTCTATCAACCTAATTGACATGTAGTATTATTTGTGCTTTTCTACACTTAGAAATTAGTTCGCCTACAATCCAGATTATTTTTTTACAATGATAGTTGAACTGAAATTGAATTAAGCATAAAAACTTGATGATGTGTATGTGTAAAGATCCAAACTTTGAGTCCAAAAACAACTTTAATTTCAGTTGTCTTATTTAAAAAATTTTTCTTCCTCTAGAGTGGAATTGGGAAAGCAGCTTGCAAAGGCCATTGAACCAGAACTGCAAGACAAGAACCCTGTGTCCTCCCATGAC